TTGTTGCAGAAATCCATGTGTTCTGAGTTCAACAAGAGCCTCAGACATCTAAGCACTCAATAGATGGGATGTAAAGGCTGAGTTTGCCCAATAAAATAATTAGTCTAAGATTTTGAGTTTGAGGGAACAATTTATTAGTGGAATAGTTGGTTGCAGTGGGGAAATTTGAAGGGAATATCAACCATTTTTAAAAGGAGGCATTATCTTTTTGAATTTTGGCTACATTAACACTCAGGAGGCTCCAGCAGTATATAAAAAGAATTATGTACCTTGATCAAGTGGGATTTATTCCAAGTGTGCAACGCTGGTTCAGCATTTGAAAATCAATCCACATGATCCAGCGTATCAACAGGCTAAAGAAAACCCAAGTGGAATGGTTAAATTAGGGATTGGTGAAAACGTAAGAGATGAATTTGAGCTCCCCATATTTCCACATTATAGTGCAACAAAGTAAGTTGAGAGAGCAACTCTATGAAAGCTAGTTTTGTACTTTACAAGTATGTCATAAAATCCAAATCCCTTATTTATCTGCCACTGGAGACTTTCCATTATCTAGTCTCACTCACTGTCTAGGTTTGATTTGTTACCACTCTCTGGTGTGAACACCCCATTGCAGCCAGATTAGTTTCTTTGATGCCCTTTTGCCACATTGAGTTCATTTCAGAATGAGACTGTCTGAGTGCTAACCCTGGCCCTATCATTAGTTTTAACTGTGATGACTTTGGGCAAGTTGCTTCAGTTTTTTCATTTGTAAATTATAATTTTCTCATACCCAGCACAAATTAAGCACGTGGTAAACATTAGCTATTAATAATGTCTCTTCTATCTTCTACCTGTATCTGCCTTTAAACTCTTCATAGCTCTAAAGTGACACTAAACTGATTCATAATATCAGTGAAGAAGAAAAAAAGGGGAGAGAAGAGTTTTAAGAACGTGTATGGCCTGGGCATGGTGGCTCATGTCTGTAATCCCAGCACTTTGGGAGGCCAAGGTGGGCAGATTGCTTGAGGCCAGGAGTTTGAGACCAGCCTGACCAACATGGTAAAACCCCGTCTCTATGAAAAATATAAAAATTAGCTGGGCATGGTGGTGTGTGCCTGTAATCCCAGCTACTCAGGAGGCTGAGGCAGGAGAATCGATTAAATCCTGAGGCAGAGGTTGCAGTGACCTGAGATAGCACCACTGTACTCCAGCCTGGGGGACAGAGCAAGACTCCATCTCAAAATAAAATAAAATAAGTAAAAATTGGCAGAAAATACTTCACCAGAAAAGACATATAGATGCAAATAAGCATATGAAAAGATGTTCAACAGCTTATGTCACAGAGAAATATAAATTAAAACGACAATGAGATACCACTATCAGAATGGCAACAATCCAGCAAAACATCGAAAACCCCAAATACTGGCAAGGATGTAGGACAACAGGAACTCTCATTTATTACTAGTAGGAAAGCAAAATGGTATAGCTATTTTGGAAGATAGTTTGGTAGTTTCTTACAAAGCTAAATGTAGAGGTATTTACCCAAATGAGTTCAAAATTTATGTCCATGCCAAAACCTTCACACAAATGCTTATAGCAGCTTTATTCATAATTGTCAAAAAATTGGAAGCAACCAGGATGTCCTTTAGTAGGCAAATGGGTAAACAAATTATATATATCTGTGCAAAAGAGCATTATTCAACAATGAAAAGAAGTGCGCCGTCATGCCATGAAAAGACATGGAGGAACCGTAAATGTTTGTTGCTAGGTGAAAGAAGCCAATCTGAAAAGGCAGCATGCTGTATGATATAACCATATGACATTCTAGAAAAGGCAAAACTGGAGACAGGTAAAAATCAGTGGTTGCCAGGGGTTTGGAAAGAGGGTGGAAGGAATGAATAGAGAGCACGGGGCATTTTTAAGGCGGTGAAATTATTTCGTGTGATACTGTGAAGGTATCATGTCATTTATTTGTCAAAACATGTATGCACACAGTGAACTCTAATGTAAATTATAGACCTTGGTTGATGGATAATATATCAACATTGGTTCATCATTTGTAACAAGTTTACCACACTAAAGCAAAATGTTACTAGGGGAAACAGGAGGGAGAAGAAAGTATATGGGAACTCTTCTTTCTGTACAATTTTTCTGTAAACCTAAAAACACTCTAAAAAGTTGAGTTTTTTCTACTCAGTCTCTGCTTATCAAAAAAGGGTGTTTTTTTGTTTTGTTTTTGTTTTTTTTTTTTTTTAAATGGTACAGGCTTAAAAGTAGGGGGGAGGGTCCCACGGAAGCCTGCTTAGTAGATAATCTGATCCGTTTTATATATATATATATATATATTTTAAATGGACACTCATTTAATATATATTTAATTAATATACTTAATTAATATATATAAAACACTCTTTAAAAGATAGTTTCTATTAAAGAGCTAAAAAAAAAAAACCCACCTTAATTTTTTTTAAAAAAGCTGAGAGATAACTTTAAATGGCAGATTTTACAAGAAAACATTTATGGGTAATTTGAATATTAGTGGTAGGAGCTGGAGTCTGTGAAGGGAACCTGAGACATTTAAGAAGTGGAAAGGAGCCAGTATGATACTTGGATGAGATGATCCAATGATTTCCCCTTACGTGGTTATGTCAATTTTGGTCCTTAGCATTTGGAGGCATTGTGCTCCAGCTCGTGCAAGCCTGGTGGGTGTGATCTTCTTGCAGGGCCCACCTTCACCCCTGGACTTGTTCTGTTCTTTCTTTTCTGTCACGACATACCCATTGCTCCAGGCTGTGAAACTCTTGTTTCGAGGATGTATTAGAGTACATTTAAAAATCAGTTCTGGACCATATAACTGAAGAGTCAAGACTTCTTTGGTTAAATATGTAATGCTTCCTCTACCCCAGTTTATTTTATAACAGATTCATGTTTCTACTTAACTAAAAAGCCAAACGCGCTTCTGTGAAGGAGTCTCGGCTACAGTAAAGACATGTGTATGAGAAAAATTTGCTTAGAATGTTCAGAACAATGTGCTGGTTTATAAACATCTGTTTTCTTCCTGAAATTTGAGTTTGTCTCCTCTTAAATTTAAAAAATATCCTGTAGCGGAAGTTTTATTTTTGCTCTTTAACAGTTTATCAGATTCGCGTTGTGTAAAAAACTTTGGCAAATAGACATCACAATTTTGAAATTTCTATTAATCAGCTTTTGTTGTTGAATAATATTATTGCAAACTCCTCCAAACTGTCATGTCCTGGGTAACTGAAAAATAATGTCACTCTGTGCTTGCCGAACATTAAGAAGGGGATAGTTTAGTAACAACTGATATAGCAACCAGATAAATGCCTTTTGGAAGTAAGGGATACATATTTTAAGAGTATATCTTCTGTGGTTTGTAGGTTAAAATTCAGCTCATTTAACAAACTTGAGTCTATTAGCCATCTACAATGTGCTGATCATTGGTCTTACAAAAATAAGACATTGTCTTATTTAGTCAGTATCCTGATTTTTTCCATTATTTTCCACCTAGATGGTGGAATCACTAATGTTTAGAGTCGTGATTTCTCCCAGATCGCAGTGGTAGAATTTCTAGTCTAGTATCAATTACAGCCTCGTTTTATATAACCTTGAGGTGAAACTTCTAGTATAGCTTCCTTTAATAAAACATCACATACTTGATATTCAATTTGTGACTGGTTTTTTCAGATTAACAACATGGGACAGAAATGTAAGTTTTATTTTTAAAGTCACCGTTGTGATGAAAATGTGTATGTCTGAAAAATGTGATTATATTATACTTAGTTATTATATACTTAGTGTGTAATGTATTTAGTGGCTGCTGTAACTAAGATATTGGCAACAAATATGTAAACCACTGAGAATTAGAAATCACTTGTTAAAAGTGATGTTTAAATACAGAGAAAGCATTTTTAAATTCAACTCAGATTGATAAGTTTTCCTTCACACGTAAGAATTATTTTTTATCTGATACTTTTAAATCAGGTACAGCTTATATTTTTACCTAGAATAGCCTAGAGAAGAAAATATATGGGAACTCTACCTAATGCAGTTTTTCTATAAACCTAAAAATACTCTAAAAAATTGTGTTTTTTTTGTTCCTAGTCAGTCTCTGTAAAAAAATGTGTTTATTTAAAAAAAACGGTACAGCATAGAATCCCTCAGATTTCATGTTAGAGAGCATTTGACTTGCATATTCGACTCCATTACTAAAATAGTGAATGGTTTAAAGATTGCTTGCTCTTTATAAACACATAATGTACAATTCTGACCGTACCTAATTTGTAATCATTTTCTTTCCCTTCTGGCTTCCTTAAAATTAACGATGTTTAACGCTTTATTTATTTTTGGTGGCAGTTGTTTTAAATAATTAGGAAAGAATACAGCTAACATTTTGACAGTTGCACAGCAAATAAGAATTAAGAGTATTATCACTCTAAAGTGTTTCAACTTTATTTAGACAGATTAGAAATTATTTGGGCCTAAATTATCCTTAAAAAAAAAAAAGAAACTGCCTTGTTTTAACCTGGACATTGGTCTTCTTTTAAATTCATAGTAAGCTTATACCTAGAAAACTTAAAGGTAGTTGTAAAAATTTTGGATATATATTAGATTTCGTCTTATTTACAGAGGTGAGAAGAGCTTTGCAGCATAAACTGCTTGGTCTTTCATTACCTTGTTTTGGTTAAAAGAGATTTAAAAAACACTTAAAACACACCATATTTCCATCTGATTTTGAAATGATTCCATGTTCAAAATTACCAAAATGCTCTCAATTATTCAGGAGATTTACTGTGCATATAATTTATGTATGTGTGTATATGATTTTATCTAAAGCAAAAGCTAAAACTTTCTTTCCTATTAGTTCATACCTTTATTTTTGGTATTGTACTGTGATTTTAGGTGTTTAATAACTAATTTAAAAATTTGTGTAAGTTTTGTTCAAAAAATGACCTAAATAGATAGCAACTGACTATTATTAATTATGTTTCATTTTTTAGAGGACTACTGAGCCCAGCCAGGCTGTATGTCATTGCTGCTGAAAAAAAGGATATTCAAGAGGAGTCCACTTTTTCTTCTAGAAGGATTGCCAGTCACTTTGATTGGGCTCTGATGAGACTAGATAATTCTGTTCGAAGAACTGGCCGCATTCCAAAGATGCTTCTACAAAAAGTCTTTGATGACACCTGCCGCTCAGGTATGTCGAAATTTCCTGTTCATAAAGTTGACCTTTGGCTGGACACAGTGGCTCAGGCCTGTAATACCAGCACTTTGGGAGGTAGGTAGATCTCTTGAGGCCAAGAGTTCGACACCCGCCTGGTCAATATGGCAAAACCCCATCTCTACTAAAGATACAAAAATTAGCCAGGTATGGTGGCGCGTGCCTGTAGTCCCAGGTACTTGGGAGGCTGAGGCAGGAGAATCGCTTGAACCCAGAAGGCAGAGGTTGTAGTTAGCTAAGATCGCACCACTGCACTCCAGCCTGGGTGACAGAGAGAGACATCTGTCTTTAAAACAAAAAAAGTCTTAAATATTAGGTTGGTGCAAAAGTAATTGCAGTTTTTGCCATTAAACATAATGGCTGCAATTACTTTTGCATCAACCTAAATAAATACTTGTTTGAGGGTAAGCTCATTACAGAGTAGCTTATTTGATACTTTAATTTTCTTTGTTATATTCTGTTGATTGTCATTTATGTTGTGATTGTGATTTCTATCTTGTCAGCTCATCTGGGCAAAGTTTGGAGTAACTAAAACATAAGAATTAAGAGTATTATCACTCTAAAGTGTTTCAACTTTATTTAGACAGATTAGAAATTATTTGGGCCTAAATTATCCTTAAAAAAAAAAGAAACTGCCTTGTTTTAACCTGGACATTGGTCTTCTTTTAAATTCATAGTAAGCTTATACCTAGAAAACTTAAAGGTAGTT